ATATATATACATATCTATGGTCTACACTGGATGCGCCGTGGCACGACACAACAAATCCCCGAGAGAAAACTGCTGCTGCGTTCTATTCATGACGTATTGACACAAATTTCTAATGATTTTCAATGGTTGCTTTGTCGCTCGTGTCCAGTGTACTAGACAGACTTTAGCTGTTGCGGCACAGACACGGTGTTACTCATCTATCGAGAAGAAACAAAGCAACACCGGCGTCCGATCGCAGGCCTTCCACTCCTTGAGTTCTCTCCAGCGCTGGAAAGCTGATCCGATATTTACAAGGGTCCTACTTCTTGCCTTAAGCCTTCTTTTGTTCCGCAGACGTTTTCCTCTTGTTTTTTTATCCGCCATCTCTATCTTTCTGTCGCTCTGCTCGGCTAATGTCCGTCCTGTGCACTGAACGCTCTCTCCTCCACATCACGAGTAGACACGCCCCTTACTGCTGATTGGCTACAAGTTTGTTTTGCTAGTCGGCCCGAATCAGTTTTCTAAAGCGTTTTTGGAAAATCGCTTACCCCACCTTTAATGTTATTAGTTAGTTGATTTTGACATTTACTAATACACTATAAAAACTAAATGTTGTAACAGCTAATATTTATATTGGACCTGAGTGAATATGAACTAACGATGAATAGGGATTCAGTTCTTTAACTTGGTGTTTGATTTGTGTGTGTGTGTTTATTTCAGGCTCTGGAGCGACTGTGCTGCAGAAAGCGAATGTTCGCATCATCAACAGCACGGTGTGTGACGAACTAATGAATGGTCAGATCACATCTCGCATGACGTGTGCTGGCGTTCTGTCAGGAGGAGTGGATGCTTGTCAGGTGGGTTTCATACGCCGCTTAAAAGTCCATTGATGAATGGAGCAGAAGCACACTGCAAGTGCTTTAAACATACAAGTACACATGATTTTTTTCCCTTTAAAGCATGTATATTTTTATTTCTGTTTATTTAATTATTTGGTTTAGTGATCAGTATTAGTACGGAAGTTCTAAGCGGCCATGCATTATTATTTTTTTCCTTCTTGTTTTCTCGTTATAACGACTTAATTTTCTCGTGATCTCGACATAACGAGTTGTTTTCTCTCGTTATAACGACTAACGACTTAATTTTCTCGTGATCTCGACATAACGAGAGTTGTTTTCTCGTTATAACGACTTAATTTTCTCGTTATCTCGACAAAGTTTTTTTTTAATTTTTTTTTTACAATGATTGTTTGATCTACTGTTGTTATAATAATGAACTCAACTTTGACACGCATCTGATGGACAGATAAACCATGTGCTCTTACTGTAGCCTATGTCGTGGATATTTCAGCAAATTTTGCTTCGCCTAGTAATAACGTCTACAATACAAAGAAGGAAAAAAAATATATTGCATGGCCGCTTAGAACTTCCGTAGTATTAGAGATTTTATTTATTAATAACTTTTTTTACAATATCAGTTTTGGTCGACATTGGATATTTATTTGTTAATGCTCATTTTCCCTATTTTTAGATTTAGATCTCTTTTGCCATCATATAATGCTCACTTAAAGTTGATCTTAAAAAACACTAATAATTTAATAGTATAGAGAAAACTCTTTTATGAAATGAACTCACTTAAAGGCAGAGTAAGTGATTTTTCAAAAACACTTTAGAAATCTGATTCGGGCCGACAAACAAATTATAATTATGTTATTATATGACATACTAATAATAATTTAATAACACTGTTCAATGTAATCTTTGTCAAATCCCCGACAGAAAACTGCTGCTGCGTTCTGTTCATGACGTATTGAGACAAATTTCAAATGATTTTCAATGGTTGCTTTGTCGCTCGCGTCCAGTGTACTAGACAGACTTTAGCTGTTGCGGCACAGACACGGTGTTACTCATCTATCGAGAAGAAACAAAGCAACCTCGGCGTCCGATCGCAGGCCTTCCGCTCCTTGAGTTCTCTCCAGCGCTGGAAAGCTGATCCGATATTTACACGGGTCCTACTTCTTGCCTTAAGCCTTCTTTTGTTCTGCAGACGTTTTCCTCTTGTTTTTTTTATCCGCCATCTCTATCTTTCTGTCGCTCTGCTCGGCTAATGTCCGTCCTGTGCACTGAACGCTCTCTCCTCCACATCACGAGTAGACACGCCCCTTACTGCTGATTGGCTACAAGTTTGTTTTGCTAGTCGGCCCGAATCAGTTTTCTAAAGCGTTTTTGAAAATAGTAATAATAATAATAATTGGAATAGTACAGAGAAAACTCTTTTATGAAGTGAACTCACTTAAAGAGTTTAGTAAAATTTTGCCAGGAAAAGTTTGACTTTTTATCACGTTATTGTAAAAAAATCTTGTGTGATATAATTTGTTTGTTGGTTTTTATTGTATTTGTTATACTTGTATTTTTTTAATAGTTTTTGCCATGAAAATAGCCTTTGATGCTAACATACTAATAATAATTTAATAACACTGTTCAATGTAATCTTTGTCAAATCTCAAAATTAATATTGATTTTTCATATTGTACATGATAATGACGTGATGCCTAAATTCAATTGAGGTATTTAAAAATATTTTAGTGTTTTACTTTATAGTTTTATTTTTTTAAGTAGTATTGAATTTAAAATTGGCCTTTTATTGATTATCATACAATATAGAGATTATTGTTGTTGTTGTTGTTATATTTAATTAATTAATTTAATTATCAGCTTTTTGGTATTAACCAGAATTTTAACATCAGTGCATTCCTGTAGCATATAAAAATCATTGATTTTTGTTTGTACTGTTTAATGTTTATTTTATTTTGACAAAATAATATAGACGTTTAATATCAGCCTATTATTGGTTATTGACCATAAAATGAAAATTATTAGCTTTTTGCTATTAGCCAGAATTTTAATATCAGTGCATTCATGTAGCATTTAAAATAATAGATTTTTGTTTCTACAGGTACATTTTTTATTTATTTAGACAAAATACTATAGACTTTTAATATCAGCCATTTATTGGTTATTCCCCATAAAATAAAAATGATTATTTGCTTTTTGATATCAGTCAGTATTTGAATATTGGGCATCTCTAACATAACTAACACCCTTTTTCTTTACTCAGGGTGATTCTGGTGGTCCTATGACCATTTTATCAAATGAGCGTATGTACCTGGCGGGAGTGGTGAGCTGGGGTGATGGTTGTGCTCGCAAAGACAAGCCTGGCATCTACACAAACATGCCAAAATTCAGGGCCTGGATCAAGGAGAAGACAGGAGTATAAGTTGCTCGAAGATTATAATGAACTGTGAGAAGTTGTATGAACCGTTTTGCTTTCTCAGGTTGCAAATGTTTTAATAGCATACATGGAATAACCCAGCATAGCCTGGCTGAAGAGAGGGATGGACTTTTGACCTGTTTTTTGTCTAACAATTGTTTTATATGTTTGTATATTTTATGAGAGCGGTATGAGGGTTTTATTCTGTCTTATGATGTGTAAATAAATGTCCTATTTTCTCCTTTTAAAGGTTTTGTGGTTTCTACATTCTTAAAGTGAAGCTTTACTTATTTGAATGTGAATGATTTAGTTTTTAGTTTTGGTCTGTACCTTCGGTTTTCTTTTGGTTCAAGGAGTGTGTATTTGTGGAGTCACACTCACATACTTAAATGTGAACATCTTCAGTCGCTTTATGACTTGTGCAATATGTATGTATGTAATGTGATTTTAAACAAAGTTTGAGTTACACATGAAAACACTTGAAAAGAAGTCTGGAGTGCTTTAAATTTGATTCAGGGATTACATTTAACACTTTAAAAATACATTTAGAAACAAAAAACATTGTTTCATCCACCATGATTTAACAATTTAACAAATAAAATGTGCATCTGGTTAATACAGTGTGAAATATGTGTTATACTTTTACTAAAAGAGTGCAACAAACCGGCTCTAGAAGTACAAATTCCATTCATTTTCTGCATATTGGAGATTTGTTTGATAACTAAATACAGACTTACATGATTTCAGATGTTGTCAATCAATAGTATAGTAGGCCTATACACAGTCTGTCATTTCATTGTTAATAGTGTTGATTGAACAACGCAGTTGGTTAAGAATTACACCTCTATGAATTAACAATTATTTTGCAACCGTTCTTTGTTTTTTTTTTAATCATCCATTTCCTTAAACTTCCGATTTTACCAGGTTTTACCAAAATTACTTTTGTTTTCCTCAGTAATTTAAATGCTCCTGTGGTATGTGACGAGATTTATTTTATTTTGTACAAAAACAATCTTCTTTGCAGTCTTTCAGTTAGTGGAAGGTCATAAAACGATTTATAAAAAATTATAAAAAGTTTGTTTCAAATCGTTTTTACTCGGCTGTCATGTTAACTGCCCATATCCACCTTTTTCTTGCCGTAAAAATGGGCGCAGCCATTTGTAAATTCTATGGGTCTAGCTTCCGGTCTCATCCGCATCTAGCTATATTTAGCTGTACAAAACAGTTCATTTTGCTGCTTGATATCGAAAACTGGTGTGTCTTACCATATTATTTAAATATTCCGCGTTGAAGAAAAAGGTGGATACTGCGGGCGGGGGGAAAGACAAATATTCTAGTGCAAGAGCGAGTCAGGCTTCTTTGCACGCCACAAACGCTTTTCATCCACAGTAATTATTGTTTTTAATGTAGTATTCCGTTTCAATACGCAGAATGCTTGAGCTGTTGGAGTAGGAACTATTATGTGTTGAACCGGACTGTAAACACAGACGGACCAGGAAGTTGGAACTGTCCCTTCAAGTTAACGCTCCGGTTTCGTGAAGCGTAAATATGACAAAAATGTAGCCATCAAATGTGCTTTACAATACCTGAGAGAAATCTACTAGAAATACCAACAATGATAATGTGAAATTAATGTGAGATGTATGAATATTTGGACAGTTGTGCGTTGTAAACTTGGAAGTAATTGAAAGCCGTCTCTGGTTAAAGATGTCCCATGAGCGAGAGGAGAGTCGGAGCTGGGACTGGGACAGTCCTCATTGTCGAGCCCAGCTGGACGAGGTGTTTTTCCGCCAGCATGACTACATCCAGACGGGCAGCGCCGAACACAAGGAGTTCTGGAGCTTCTTTGAGCGCTTCCAGAGATTCAGAGCCAAGAGAGAGATGTCAGCAGCGAAATCCAGCAGGCAGGAATCACACGAGGGAAAAGACAGGAAGTCTGAGTCTGTGGATCTGGGGCTTCCAAAGGATTACGATGCCAGGTACAGGATCAACATCTCAGTGTGCTCCAAAGACATAGAGGAGCTCCTGGGAGGATCTGAGCACAAGAGGCGCAGGGGCCCCTCTGGTCCTGGCAGGCAGGAGATCACAGACTGCCGTCTTGCCCTCCTCCATTTCCTAGATTTCAACCAGAAGCAGAGCTTCAACAAGCTTTCTAAGTTAAGAAAGGAGCAGAAGAGCCTCCCCATCTTCCAGTACCGGGACAGGATAGTGGAGCTGGTGCGGACTCATCCTGTGGTGGTGGTGGCTGGAGACACGGGATGTGGGAAGTCCACACAGGTGCCCCAGTATCTGCTGGCATCAGGGTTCAACCACATAGCCTGTACTCAACCTCGCCGCATTGCCTGCATCTCACTGGCCAAGAGAGTCAGCTTTGAGAGCCTCAACCAGTACGGCTCCAAGGTACAAAGATCTTTCCGCTTTAGTATATTATTTCCACAACAAATAAACAAACAATATTTGCATTTCAGTTGTTAAAAAAAACACTAGTATTAGTACAGGGTGATTTTAATTACTTTTGGCATTATGGAAATGAGAATTAGGTATGAAAATGTACATAACTGTTATGCAAATGAATGCAAACATTCTTAAATGTTAACAGGCTTAATTTTCTATTTGCATAGCATTTCTATTATGGCTAATAATAATAGAATATGCTAGTTGAAAACTCTGACATTAGGTTTGGCTTTTTTAAAGCATAAATGATTAACAGAAATACTATACAAAGTAATTGAAATAGTTAAAAAAAGAATGCTAATTTCATAATTTGACATTATAATTTTATGTATATATTCTACACCTTTGGGTCTCTGAATATCTGTGTACAAATAAATAAAAGTGGTTCATAAAACAATACTAACTTGATAATTTTACCAATATAATATAATTATATATGCTTATGTATGGGTTTAGAATCGTTAGCAGACATACTAATAGAACTAGTGTATATATATATATATATATATATATATATATTCAAAAGTTGTTGATGTTACAAAAACTTTTTATTTCAGATTAATGCTGATCTTTGGATCTTTCTATTCATCAAAGAACATGTACTCAACTGTTTTAAATATTAATAATATTAATAATAAATGTTTTTTGAGAAGCAAATCAGATTAGAATGATTTCTGAAGGATCATGTGATACTGAAGACTGGAGTAATGATGCTAAAAAAATCAGCTTTGAAATCACAAGAATAAATTACATTTTAAAATATATTCAAATAGAAATTGGTTATTTTAAATAGTAAAAATATTTCACAATATTACTGCTTTTGCTGTATTTTGGATCAATTAAATGCAGACTTGGTGAGCAGAAGATAATTCTTTAAAAAACATTAAACATCTTACTGTTCAAAAACTTTTTGACTGGTATAGTGTGTATATATATATATATATATATACACTGTATATATATCGAAGTGG